TCAACAAATTAAAGACCAGAACACAGAAAGATTGCTTGGATAAAGCATCAAGAGGCAGCAATAGGAAGAGGGTAAATGCAGTCAGGCTCAGACAAGGAGACTGATCAATAAGGTCTGGAACTGGGAGTAAAAAGAAGAGAAAAAGCCTATGAAGAAGGATGAAAAGCCTAACCAGAGGCTGGCATTGTGCACTAGGAGAAAGGATTGGATAGTAACAGAGTAGGTATGATCAGTACTGGAAAAACAGGCAGACTCCAAGATGTTCACTTCTCACTGCCAGGGGGTCTCTCTCATCCCTCTCTCTATTCCTCTTCCACAGCAACAATATGCAGTGTGCTTTAGTAATATTAATTAACAGTAGCAACAAATACAAATTAAAAATACTTCATGTTACTTCATGAAGCAACAAACACCTTCACCATGAATCTTGTGGTTTCCAACCCTAAGGTAAAGTGCATCATGTCATTTTTTCCCATTGTTTCTAAAATTGGTAGGAAGTTGCATACAAAAACTCTGGATCAAAAAAATAATATTGCACAAAAGATGGGATGTAAAACTTCCTGTAACAGCTTTCCTTCTTCCCCTTATGCATACACATTAAGGTAACGTCCTGAGTTACACGATCACACAGTTTTCCACCTGGCATCCATGTGTTTTAGTGCACACAATGGATTCATGCTGATGGTGAATTGGGGCTGTACATAAAACACTTGGACCACTATTTTCAGGGCTCTGGCCACTCTTCCCACATAAACAGCAGGGTGACAGAAAGGCTGGGAAGAGATAAAAAAAAAAAAAAGGTCTGGGCTGCAAATGAAGCTTTTCTGTCTTGTGGTTAAGACTATTGCAGTGTTGCCCCAGGATCTGGACTTTGGCCTTCCTCAGCATCACAGGAGGAGTCTGTGACAAGAAAGCTACTTTAACAAAATCTTTCAGAGGACACACAGGATTAGTAACATTCTCTGCCTCCAGGGGTCAAACCTGACTATTTTATAAGTGCTCTAATGCTTCCAACTGTCTCTGAGGTCAGTGAGCACATTGCTTTGAACTTAAACACGTAAAATGCCAAATACCCCAAACAAGAGACAAAAGTCTTAAAATACATACCCAACATTCACCAATATTCTTGCTTTTAATCTGTCATAATAAGGCTGAGTTTACTCATCTCCCTCATCTCAGAGGCACTGTAAGAATAAGTTCACTGGTATTAGGGCAGTCACTGGTGTGAGCTGCCAAGGAAATCAACAGTGCTTCCAGAGCAGGGTTTGAATGCAGTGCAAACACAGTGTAAACAAGGTGCTGAAGAAACTCACTGTGTAGTAGTAGGATATTTGTTTTGAGGGGTGAGGTGCAAAAACACTGCCATGTTTTTGCAGGCTGGATGCTTCTTCCCTGCACTGCCCCAAATACTGCTATTTTAATTGCAGGTTACAACAGCCAGAATGTTGCAAAACCAAGTCAGATTAAGAAAAAACTCTATCACAATTCAGTGGCTTCTACTGAAACACTTTCAATGTCTCACAGTATTCTGTTTTAACGATTGCACTTTCTGTGACTAAGACTTTCAGAGTTAAAATTCCTAACCAGAACTTCTTGAGAATCGCTGGAAGATGAAGAAAATCTTCATGATTCCAGGATGCAAATCCTCCTTCTGCACCTTCAATGAGCCTCAAATAACAAACAATTCCTGGGGTTTGCAGTGACATGGAGAGGGAATGAGCCCACGAGGCAGGATGTCAGAACCCATCTATGGCTTAATCTCTGCGTAAACCTTTTTATGACGAGTCAGAAGCGTGGACAGTAAAGCTTGCTGTCAGTGGCTTGCAAAGCGTACGAGTCACCCTGCCCACACCCCTAACTCTCTGCAGGCTGGAAAAGGCCAGTCTGACCACTTGTGCTTCCTGACAGATTCGAGCCAGGCTGTCGCCACCGAGCAGGGCAGATGAGCCTGATCAGCTCCAGAGCCCGGGCATGGAGCTGCTCCCGACACGGGTGAGCACCGGCTGTCTGGGCAGCACACGCTCTTCTCACAAGCACTGCCTCCCTTCTCTGACAGAAGGGCATCGGGAAGGGCACCCGTGGGATGTCAGGGCTGACATCCCCGTGGGCTGTCGCATCGACTACGATGACCTACATCTACTCTTCTCCACCGTTCTTCCCTCTGGCCTCCTGCAGTATCAATGCTGCTCTGCTGCTCTCCACATGGTGCCATTAGGAAAAGAGATCACCCTGCTGTAGACTAATGGCCCAAGCCACTTATTTTTCGATCTCAGATTGGCAGAGGACAGGAACTTTTTCTTTAAAATGCTGTGCAAATACATAGACACACATTACACTAAGAGCAAGACAAGTCTGCTGCTACAATTGACACAGTAAAATTTATGTATCACACCATCCGCTCCGGGAAGCTGCAGGAATTAGAGATCTGGCAGGAAAAAAAGAAGAGTAATTTTAATAGTAAAATTCATATTACAGGGACAGTTTGCAGTGGGGTATTGTCTTAAGGGTAACAGGTAAAGCATGGAGACACTATTGCATAGAAAGTCTCAGTTTCATTCTGTTCACAGTTCAGTCAAGGCCAAGAATTTTCCTAGAAAAATGCTCCACTCTCCCACCCTGCAAGCTCAGTGTCTGTTCTGACTTTTGCAGGTCTAAATCCTTGTCTTTGCTTTCATTTGAACACTAAAGCATCACATCAATTACTGAAGTTTACCAAAGAAAGGACAATATAGAACAGTATTGAATCTGCCCTTGTTCAATCCAGATCAGAAGTCCTCTCCCAAGGAAAGAGTCCATCACATTTTCCTTCAGCTTGTTCACACACCAACTGTTTACTGGTAGGAATGAAGATGACTCATCCTACCACCAATACAACCTGGTAAAAGACAAGGCACGTCCTCAAGCAGTAGCCAAAAACCACAGTCTGAGCACCGAAAATTTTGGTGACAGGTTTTTCCTTTGGAACAAAGTGACTTCTTTAAGATTCAAAAGGAGAGTAATTTGTCCAATAGATTTAATTTTTAAAATATATTTCATCAATACAATAATACACTAATAAAATTCACAAGTTGTTTAAGGTGGGTGTTTAAGGTCCTGGTGTTTCATCTACGTCCCTTCCCAAATAGAACAAGGAAAGCGCACATATCACATAGAAAATACTTTAAAAACTAAACTTAAAAACCCAAACCAACAGAAAACAACCCAAAACGCCCAAGGAATTTGAAAATTTCTAAGCTGATGACTTAAACTTTTATGCTGACAGCTTCCAATGCGACCCACTGAGACACTATAACTTTAGTGCTAAGAACAACCCAAATACAGCATAACTGCTAACAAATCCTTAGGGTTTGATTTGTTGTTCGTTTGTTTTTAAATAACCTCCGATGAGTTTGCTGCTGCTGGGACATCACGAACCCCTCCCAGCGGGTGCACTTTCCAAACAATTGGCATTCAACAGTAGATAACACTGAAGCACTGGGAGGGCAGCTCCAGAGAATGGCATACAGTTATGTAAAGCTGGGAACAAAGGCATTCACAGGGATCCCAGGAAATGGGATTTTTATATGAGTAACCATCACAGTGTGTGTTATGAGAAGTGCTGCAGGCACAGAGTTCTCCTTTAGGTACTTTGGTTCCTTGCAGGAACTCTACTCTTAGATGGACTAAAATACTTCCTGAACTGAAAAAGAATGGGGAATGCCATTATTATTAAAGTTATCTTCTCAGATATCTTTATGCATCTCTTATCTTCACACTCCAAGGTGACTGAAATTTGGAGCTTTCTGAGCGTATCATGTCAAAGAGACATGACTCCAAGTATGGGCATTTTTCATAAATTTGACATTCTTCTCTGCAGAATTCAGCCCCTTTCACTTGAAAGGACAGCCAAGGAAGTATTTTATGACTTCACTGAAATACTTCTTTCATCACCTGCTCAACTTTATTCCACCTTGGTTAGATGCACATTCTGCATCTGTTTAACACCGCACTGAGGTAACTTGAAAAAAAAAAAAAAAAAAAAAAAAAAAAGAAAGAAAACTAGATGGAGGACTAGTAGTTACTCACATTTGCAAACACACTGTGTTGTGGTTTTTAAAAGCTGTTTCTAATCTCAAAAAACAGTTCCTTTTAGACTCAGATAATATTCTTCTGGATGCTTTCGATTGAAGTGCATGATGAAGTCTTCTCAAGAACTTCTTTCATACTGCAGGTCCCCAGTGAGCTTAAACCAGCTCATGAGCTCCAGACAACAGGACAGACAGGACAGGAAAGCCCTCACAACAGGCTGCAATGCATGCTCAGACCCAGTGTGAATAGTGGGACAATCTGTTCACAGAGCTTAGTGCTCCTCTGTCAGTGTTTCTAGCCAAGCTTGAATTAGCTGGCTACTTCAGCCAAATAAATTCATGCAAGTTGTCACTAAGGCAATTAAAAAAATAAATCATTGTCCATTGGGAACTCTGCCACGGAAATATCATTCTGGAAGAAATTCTGAAATTTGAAAATTTTAGGCAAATTGTTTTGATCTTACTGACTTTGAAAGCGAGAGAAACACTTAACACAGAATTAGTAATGAAAGGTCACTCTTCCTACAGAAGATTTGTGAAATACACAGGGAAACAAAAACAACAAGGAGATTTTAAAGTGCGTTTGTAATAATCTTCTCAATTGGGTTCTTTATACGATTAACCTGTTCCAAATGTTAGATTGCTGTGCTTAATTATCCAGGGATTTAAATACTTTACCGAACCACAATTAGGAACTAAAAAAACTCTGCAGCTGCTTTCTGAGAAATCTGAAGCTGAACTCATTTAAGGAATAACCTTTCTTCAGGATAGTAATTTCTCCAGTTCCCATATAAACCATGAACATGTTTTGAGGAAAGTTTCAATTCTATAAACTGTATTTCAATAACAGTTATCTGCCAAAAGGAGGAGGAAAAAACCCCAACAAACAATTACAGTACCTTCAAAAAGTTCTCTTAAGCTTATAAACGGTACCTTGGATGTAAGGTCTCGGTGGAAAATGCCTTTATAGTGAAGATAACTGATCCCCATAGCAATGTCATAAGCCAGTTTCACCCTCACTGTCCAGGGCAGATGCTGGTTACTGTCTAAGAGCTGTTCCAGGTTACCACAATTGATGTACTGAAAAGAAAAAGCAACATTTGTAATTAATTATTTAACTTCAGACAGGAATGTAAAATTCATAATTACACAGGTGACCTCAGCTCAGTTACATATCAAAACTTCTTTTCTTAAGGGCTTGGAGGGGCACAAAGTTTGCAGATCAAGAGAGGTTGAAAATGTCTCCCTTCACCAGCTGTGCAAATGCATTTATGTTAAAGATGCACGTGACAGCCACCACTGCATTAACTCTCTGGTATTTAAACAGACCCTTCAGAAACATCTACAATATTGTATCACCCTCTCATTTCCAGCTTGAGGAAAATTAGGGCAAAAAAGGATGAAGAGTTGGCTCTTATATAGGATAAGTCAACAAATAGCAGGGTAAGTATCCAAGTGTAGGTCATGGAACCTGATCAAGTTTCCAGATATCAATTCCCTAAACTGAAACAGCATCAAAGAAAAATATTACAATGTGTTGCTGTAAGTTCCATTTCTTTCACTGCTCTATCTGCAAGTTCTAATCAGCAATCTGATTCCCACTGTGGTCAGTACTACATCAACCCCATCAAATGGCGGCCCTCATGAAAAGGAAAGAACATTAAGTAAAAGATAAATGCTATAAAAGACAGTGAAACAAAGCAGCACCTAAATGACACTAAGCAATATAACTTAGCTAAGACATGGCAGCTCCACTGCTCAAATAATCATTACAGCAACTCAGCTTATGCTTTATGTACAGACCCTTTATACCACACCAGCAGCTACATCGTGTTTTAAGTAGCTTCTTGTTTCACTCCCAGCCCCAGTGCCCCACCAGCACACAAGCAAAAGGAGTAGCTCTCTCCAGCAGGAAAACCTGGCAGCAGTAGTGACTTCTCTCAAGAAAACCCAAGCGAAGCAGGCAGGACAATTTGCTCCCAAGCCTGGCCCACGCACTAACACTGTGCCAGGTTGCACCAACTTCCCTCCCCTGTGCCAGACACATCTCCAACCCTCTCTCAGATGGCTTTGTACTTCCCTGTGTCATTCACCCTGACAGTGACACATGACAGTGTGGCACCCTTATCATGTTCAAACTGAAGTCTTAATTGCAGCTTTTGTTATTTCAGAAACTTGTAACTTGCTTGTATTTTGTTGCGCTTCTTTGTGCCTTGGAGCCTGGGGCACAAGGCAAACACGAACCACTCACAATGGAGTGTGGATGGATGATCTCAGGCTGTGCTACAGCAAGGAAAGAGCACACAAAGCCAGACTCTACTGATAAGCCCAAGGGTCACAGCTCACCTTCAGAACAGCTTCTTCCTTACAGTTTGGGCCTACCATTAGCTGAGCTCACAGGTTAATTCTGAAAACCTTTTTAACAGATACCCAAGTTCCACAGGTTAACTAAGGTGGCAAAAGTGTTCAGGCAGAGGAGGCACAAATCAATTTTAACTGGCACAGAGCTCACTGGGAAGGGGCTCCACTGTGCTTCCCTTGGGAACAGGGTTCATCCCAGTCCATTTCACTGGCAGTCCAGGGCATGACCCCTCTCTCTCCAAAACAACCTGTTCCTTGTGCTAGGGGTACATGTGCCCAGAGAGCAGAGCAGCTCTGGAACAGGTCAGTCTGAGGCTACGCAATCTCCATCCTTGGAGATTTTCAAGACCAACTAGAGCTGCAGTCAACCTGGTTCAGCGTTGGAAACAATGCTGCTTTGAGCTTTTCCAGCTTTGATCTTTCTCACTGCTTTTATCTGAACCCCTAAGGGAGCTAGATGACTTTACAGAGCACATAAGAAAAAAAACCATGCTCAATAAAATTAGATTTCTATTTTTTCTAAGTCATAGGTTGCTATCATGCTTAAGGAAAAATGGTGAATAAGACTTCTACAATAACTTCTTACATATTCCCAGCCTCCCTGGGCAAGTGTGAACAGCACTTCTCATCCAGTTATGTTCAAATCCAAACAATACCGATCAACCTGGAACAGAAGGCACCAAAGGCCCAGGCTGGATAACCCAGTTACAGTGACACCAATTGCCCCAAAGCATTTCACCTTTCTGACAGGGCAGTAACACACAACAGACCATCCATGTAGCACTACCATACCTAAATTCCCTGGCAAGACAATGTGAGGGGAAGGAATCATCGGCCCAGGTTCCATTTCCTAGTCTGTGCCACACCATGACATAAATAGCTCCAGAAGTGCTAATAAACAATCAGCCCAGATGAGTATTGACACATATTGAAATGGGACAACAGCTGGCTACTGTATCGAGCATGCTCTTACTTTCCTTCTCAGATTTGATCCACTGCTGCCATATCAGCTAAGTGCATCCAATATATCTATTCTCCCAGCTACTCTTCCAGTCAAACTGGTTTGCAGGGTCATTCACCCAACTTAGCTGCAAGGACTCAACTCCAGCATGGGGTGGGTGAAGGTTGACACACACACACACAGAGAGGACACAACATGGACGAGCTGCAAAGGCAAGAGCCAAACCTGTCTCCAGCACATCTACAAAACCCTCCAGGCCTCCTGTCCAAAACTGCCACCCAGCAAGTGCACAGCCCTCGTTTATTAGAGATGTGAGTCTGGCTTTGGCTCTACATTCTCGTGTACCTCCATGAAAGACAGGAGACGAATCATCAAGTGAACAACTGCACTAAGATTTTCCTATAAGACACGTTTAAGACTCCAGTTGATCTCAGGTTTTAGCTGACCAGCAGGTAATATTTGCATGCAGAAGCCCAAATTGTCCCTAAGGCAAGCACCACACAGAGTTTAGTGCTCCCTCAGTGTCATGTAAGTAATCCAATTCTTCCGGTTATTCAGGCTGATAATGCAAACAGCCAGCCTGATGGCCTATTTTTTTTTCAGAGCCCTTCAACAATGCCTTTTCAGAACAGACACAGAATTATGTACATTATTTCCTAAATGCCAGGGCAACTGAAAGAAAAAAATACTTGTTCTCAGTCTCTCAGTGGCACAAACCAGCTCTTTGTGGCAAGAATATCCCGAAGGATCGTAAATGCACCTCTCCCAAAGGGAACACTGGATTTTGTTTTGTCCCTGAAACATTTCAGCACTGGTACAGTAAGGCTGCAGCACACACATCATCTCAAAGCACGATTCTACTACAACAACAGCCATTGCATAAGTGTACAAGCAATTGGAGCAGAGATCTGATGGGGCCACCACAATGAAAGCAAAGGCCGCTACATTTCAGAGAGACCTCACGGCTAAATGGAGCAGTGTTCAGACCTTTTCAGACTCTCTATCATCAGGTTGCAGTGAAACAGCTACCCATTATTCCTCCTGCTAGCTTTTTGTCACGTAACAGGATCCCAGCACTCAGTTTATCTGCTTGCCAAGGTCTGAAAGTAATGGCTATAAGGTTGTTTATTTTTGCATTTGCTACACCTCAAAGCAAACGAAATGCCCGTTTAAAAGATCCCGGCGTCGCAGCCCACAGAAGTATTCTTTCCGAAAAAATTCTGAGGTAGGAGCTCACACTCTTTTTGCTAGAATGAAAGTTCAGCAAAACTCCATTTCTTCTACCTCCCCCAAATCTTATGATGAGGAAAGAGGGTAGTAGCTTCTTTGCAGGACATGTTACTCAGAAGCTCAGCCAAGCGCAGATGCTTCCTGGATCAAAGAGCCTTGAGGAGGTTTCTGATGTTATAGTTTACTGTATATTCTTTACTGCTAAGAAATACAGCAGCAGCAGCAGTATATAACCCTTTCCTGCACAACAGTCAGGGATAGGGAAACATGCTGCTTTAACCTAAGAACAGTGTTTTGCTGCTTTGCAAAACACTTGCAGTCACTTTATCAGACTCAAGCACAGGAAATAAGGAATTGATTGAAATTCAGAATATGACAGTACTTACATACAGCATTACATGCTTCATTTCAGGAGACTAATAATGAACTTCAGCTGTCAGATTTTAGCTTCAGAATTCAAAATAAAAGTCTGAACACCAATACGAGAACTAGAAGCTTTTAAAGGAAAGGCTCATCAAATTCACACAATTCCAGCAGTTATGGCTCAAAAACAAAGACTCCAAATATTGTCAAGTCTGATGGAAATTGTAAAGAGTTTTCAATGCTATTTTGAAAACCTAAGGCTGTTTCAATATGAAGGTCTGATACAAACAAGCCATCAGATATTGCACAGGAAAGCCAGAAAAAAAACTTGGCCTGCTATTTAGATGACTTGTAATGTCACTGCTCGCCATTTAAAGAGCAACAAGTAACCACAAGACACCCCTACACTGCAGCCCAAACCTTACCAAAGACAATGCATTAAGTGGTTAAGAAAAGTAGGCGTGGAGAGAGCATTTAAAGTGACTGACCAAGTGAGGTAAGTAAAGAGTGAGAGCTGCAGGGACCCAGGACACAAACACTGAGACAGCAATGAATGAATATATTGCAGAAACCCACCGAAGAGACAGGCAGAGAAGCAGGAGGAAAGAGAAACTAGAATCGTGCCATCAGCACCTTCAGCATGGAAAAACAAGAGAGATGTCAAAGCAAACGCCAGACCAAGAAGTTGGACTCTGAAGGGGGACCGGGAAAGCAAAATAACAGTATTGTAAACACTGTCAACAAACGCATTCAAGAGTGTCAAAAGAGACAGAGCTTCCAGTATTTGTATCATTTCTAATGTTGGAAGTAAGAAGGTAACTCTCATGTCTGCTAAAAGAAAGTTGAGAGCTTTTCACTTGGCTTTCTGCAGAAGTTTAAGACCAGTTTTAAACCATCCATTTCAAGAAGGACACAACCCAATCTTCATTTCTCATATGTTTAAGTCATCTGCCACACTCAGCACTCTCTAAGTGACTATTTTGAAGGCTTCTGGCTGCAAGACAACAAGTCAATGTACCCTTCTGTCACAACTGGCATAATTAGCTACAGTGGGAGGATTGGAAATTTTCTCATTTCCCCCAACTGTTTTCATTAGCTTCAACTGTGCAGAACTGGAAAAGAAAGACAGCATCAGTATGTTCAAAACTACTACATAAGATACTGC